CATCCTTTGACTTGTCTGTGTCCATCAAGGTAGCAATGAGACTCTCAAAGACATTCTTCTGCACGTGCATAACATCAATGGAATGGGAGACCTCTAAGTCTGGCCAATAAGGCAGATACTGAAAGAAGATCGATTGTTTCTTGAAAGGTACGCCTTCGATAGAAGGTGTGCTTCTATCTCTGTTAGTCCCATCCGGATTCTTCTTTCCATAGATGACGCGTATGTTTTTCACCATTCTGTACATGTGTTCTCTGTTATGACGTCTCTCTGGAGGGGGTAGCAATGTCCAATGTGTCGGATAGCCCTTTTCAACACCATACACAGTCTCCTTCGATGCTTTTGTCACCCTTTTCAAATTTTCTAGACCTTTCGGGCTATTTAGTAAAATCTCTGGTCTAAGGGCTCGAATCATGTCCTCCAAATCATCTTCGTTCCCGACACGTGCTCCACCATCATTATTGGCACCAGCTTCGTCGTTACCATCCCAACCACCAGCATCACCACCTTGTTCATTGCCAAACTCGAAATCCATTCATGCATCAAGCTCTGCTGAATATTGGGACAGGGATTCTATGGTTTCGTCGTCGTATTCCTCCTCATCCTTATCGTTAACAATAACCGTTTTACCATGATGAATCCACACTATGTAGTCCTCAACAAATCCTCGCATAATCAAATGTGATATGATGATAGTCACATCTGTCCATGCCATACGGTTCTTGTAATCTTTACAGGGGGAAATAATTGTATCCTTATTCTTTTTCAATGTCGTGGCATGCTTCTTTGCGGCTTCAATAAATTTATCCACCTCTTCATGGAAATCTGCCTTGAACTTTAACGAACCATACATCCAAGAGTTCTTGTACTCCATCTTTTACAACAACAACAAAACAAACATTAAAGGACTACTTATTCAGATATATATATATATATATATAAATGAATCAAATTAATAATTACTTGAGAATAATTGTATATACTTCGGATATATATGAATATAAATCTAATATAATTACATGAAGCATACAAATACACCATGATAGAGGAAAATTAATTAATGGCCCATTTATCCATAAATAATTAAAATCCATCTTTATTGATTACAATAAACAATTTCAAAGACAATAATTAGCAACAATTATACTTTACCCAATATCTTTCATACAAACTCTAGTCCAATTTTATCAAACATAAATTTATAAAAACAAAATTAATAAAAAAACTAAACCCTAGATCTAGATCTACATGCACATGAAACATACATAAAACTAACTAATTGTTCACTAAAATCAAGAAACATGGACCAAATAAGTGTATGATCTTGTTTTCCTCCCTAATTTACCCTATTACATTTAAAACTTGGGTCTAATTTGCTTCATAAGTAGCTCAAGCACCATAGAAGAGAGAGAAAAACAAAACTCTAATTACTCACTAACCAACCATTAAAACTTTAAAAAAATGTGGAATAGCATTTTTTTTACCTTCTACAACCTCTTCACCAAAAGATTTGAGATCAAAACCTTCCCCACTTAATAGAGTAATTTTTGGGAAGTGCCCAAGGCCTCTCCATCTTTCTTTCACGGGTTGGAGTGAGTGACACGAGGAGGACGAATGTGTTGCAGCTGTTTTATATATGGGTCATTTGTAGAGACGGCTGGTGATTGAGCCGTCCCTACAAATCGGAGCTATATATACGAGGGTATTTGTAGCGGCGGCTGGTGATTGAGCCGCCCCTACAAATAGCAACTCTAGGGGCGGCTGGTGATTGAGCCGCCCCTACAAATTAGACCTCATTTGTATGGGCGGCTCGTATCACCAGCTGCCCCTGTTGTTCCATTTATAGGGGCGGCTCCATCACCAGCCACCCCTAAAACAAATCAAACCATTGCTAAAAATCGTTTTTTACATAGCGGCACTGGTGGGAGTGGGTCGAGGAGATGTCGTTACCTTTATATCGTTGTCATCCATGTACGCTTGACAAATAACTAGTCTCAAATGAAAAAAAAATAGTTCACTAATTGTGTTTCATCGTACACCGATTTGGCCACTAGAATAGAATGGAGTTGTTTATGACCTCTCCACGAATAATGCACGGAAGAGACCCCTCCACGGAAGTTTGGGCAAGTCAGTCAAGAAAAACTATGATTTAGCCAACCTGCTCCTGCTGGACTAACATATGATTCGTAATAGAAAAAGAGGCGGCCGGCACGGCACATTGATGACAGCAACATTATTAGCGGGCTGTCGCTAATAATCGTTTGCAAATATACATATAGCATACTCCCTCCGTCCCTAAATAACTGTTATCGTTTGTGTGCGTGCCGTAAGTTTAACTTGATTTGTAGAAAATGCGTGCAACATTTGTATCTCCACATAAATTTATTACAAAACTAGATTAAAAAATCTTTACAAAGATACTAATTATGTACCATAAATATTAATATTTTTTTTAATATATATTTAGTCAAAATTATTTCTCGAAAAACGAAAACGGCAGAGGTCCTATACAGTACATTATTAGTGGGCCGGCCGGGTGACCCTGAACACTGAATCACCACCTCACCCCTATTCCGGGTTCTCACTTGCTTGGCGTCCGCTCGTGCGTTCGTGGGGGAGACGAGAGACAGATGGGAGGCCTCACGAGGGCTGTGGATTGGTGGGAGGAGTGGCAGTTGCGCATCCTCGTCGTCACCAGCATCAGCATGGTTGTCCTAGTCCTTCTCTTCATCTTCTCTTCATGACTCATGTTCACTCTCTCAGCATGCTGCTCCTAGAAAGTTGGAATGTATATATATACAGTACATATGGGTCTGTTCGCTGGTTGGTGCTTTGGTCTTTGGTTTGGATTGGCTAGTCTTTGGTTTTTTGAGAGAAAACACTATCGGTTAATTTGTTCGACCGAAATTTGGTGTAAACCGAAACCAACAAATGAACGGTGACTCTTTCGTCTTTGAGAGAGAGAAAGGTTCTGCTCTCGTGGACTGAAACTATGAGATGGCCTGGCCCAGGAGCGGAAACATCTAAAAGCCCAGTAGCTGGGCCAGGAGCAAGCCCATGGGGGGCCGACGCCGGAGTAGCAGCCCAGTAGCAATCATCACGCATTCACGCGCCGCCCGCCGCTCGCCGCCGCCGTCGTCACGCACTCGTCCACCAGTCACCGTCGCCGCCGCCGTCGTCACTCCCACGCGCCCGCGCCTCAACCGCCCCACGCTTGTCGGATCACCAAACGCAAGGCCGGCCCGCCGCCGCCTGCGGCTGCTGGCGACCGGAGATGGACGAGGAGGAGGAGGAGAACATCGGGCCGTTCCGCCGGACGAGCGCCCGCACGCGCCGGATGGCCACACGCATGGCGTCAGCGCTCGCCAGCTCTGACAACCGCGCCCAGGTAACGATGGGACTCTCACTTACATTAACCGCTTCACCAAACCTAGCAGTAGACTGACTACTCCTGCCTCTTCCCCCTTCCTTCCGATATATACAGATACAGTGATGCAATTTTCATAATACAATTGAGAGGAAGAGTGATTTTTCAGCAATAGCAGAGGTTTAGAAGGGTTCTAGTAGGTTCTAGAAGGGAGACGAATCAGGGATGCATGAGAATCTGGAGGAGGAAGAAGATCGAGGACACGAGCTAGGAAGGGGCGGGATTTACGCTTTTGTTGTTTGATCGATAATCTTCAGATCATCGGAAGCAGCCTTGCTTGGTTTTTGTATCACCATCGCCTCTAGTCTGCTAACCCAGTTTGGTTTGGAGGGCCTCCGGACCAGGAATATGACGCTCCAATTTATGTTTAGGGGATATATTACTGAACCCATTTTAAGGGATTGGCCTTATTATAGTTTCACTTTTTTTTTGAGAGCAAAGGATTGGCCTTATAGACAAGAAGTTTTGGTAATATATATGCTCTAGAAGACTCTTTAGCCAAAGAGTTCTATCCTGAATTTACACTGCTTATGATTAGAGCTTTATCTTAACTTTTGCACTGTGTGTCTTGCTCTGTTATTTTGGAAAATCCGCTGTCTAGGTCGGAGTCTTGCCTTGTTGTTTTTTATCCAAACTGGCACATTTTGTAATTTTAAACAAACGCTCTGGTTTCTAATCAAAACAGAATATGTGCCCATAGCTCAGTAACTGTAGGCTCTACTAATATACTGTCTAAAGTGCTAAGCATTTCCATCGTCATGATGTATGTCTGCTTCCAGATCCTCTTTCCCTGACATTCTCATCCTGTCATTCTGTAGTTCATCGCTGACTGATAAGTTATGAAGAACTCAAGGTCTTAGCTCAGATTCGATTCGTATTGACATCATTTTCATTCTTGTAGTTACTGATCTGTCACTGTGCCTGACATAATACCCTTTATGTTTTGTTACCCTGTTGTGAGCATATCCATTTCTGTAACGCCATGCAGGCTGCATTAGCTCGCCTTTGAAGCTCTTGAGAGTGATAATGCCGGGGTTGAGGTGGTAGATCTTAATGATGATGAGTATGGATCCACGGACGAGGAAGACCCGGGTCAGTTTCTTTCTCATTTGTCTCCATACCAATTCCAAAAGGATAATGTTGATACGGTATGCAGAGACTCGATGAGAATTTACTATTGAACAAATTAATCTTCGCAAATGACGAATATTCAAACACAGGGTGGTTATGTGTGATATTTATTTTCATTGCTTGTAGTATCAATTTTCCAGACTAAACAACATTCTTCATTCATTTTTCCTTCTAAATGAATTGATAAATAAGATTAAAATGTCCTTGAAATACTTCTACCAAATCTGGTACGAACACCAGAAATGATTCATAAGGTGACTGTGTTTTTAGTCAATGGAATGCCCTGAAGCCAGCTCTTCACATGCTCTAGCTTCTCATCTGTAAAGGTTCATGGGTTCAACGTTTCTGGAACTTCTGCATTTACATACATTATATAGATGCTCTACCCAGGGACAATAGAAGTTTCGATGTAGTCATCTTTTGTTTTTGAATTTCATTTCTACAGTCCTCATGCAAAAAAAGCAGTCCAAGATTATGAAACGCAAGACAAGGCAGGGGAAAGCTTTGGAGAAGAGGGCGGCAAGATCATTCATGGATGTCTTACAAGAAGTAAGTAACCTTCTTTCTCGCATATTTATTTTCTAAGGAGGGTTCTTAAAAGATTTTCACTCTGCAACTGTGACAGGCAAATCTGGAATCCCTACCTCCTCATGTCCCAACATATTTGAGGGCTGCTGTAGGTCCACCGAGCTCTTCATCTCAACGGCACTACTGCTCAGTCTGTGGTAGTTCTGCAAACTACACATGCGTGAGGTGTGGAACACGGTTCTGTTCTTGCCGCTGTGAAGCTGCCTGAAATTTGTGGCTTGACCAACTAGTTCTACAAGCTACATCTGATGTATGTCCACTCCCTAATGATTGCTCGTCTGTGGTTTGATCAGTAGGATATGCTTGCTGTGTATGTTTTGTACTCTGTGTATGTTTTAAGAGACAGGTCTCTTATGTGGCCGTGACTGGAAATATGTAGAGTTATTTTCAGAGATGGCCGTGTTAAAAGAGACCTGCCTCCGAAAATCTATTTTCAAATACGGACATGGGCATTAGGCCACGAGATGATTTCTAAAGATGATAAAATAAGATGCTCAACTCTTCAAATAAAAGCTAATGCGTGATAAAGCCGTTTTTGTAGCGGTGTTATTCCTAGACACAATCTTACAAGACGGGGAAGACCTGACTACCTTAATTTCGCCCAAGGTCAAGCCGTGTCAATTTTTATTATGTATAAGGCAGCGCACTTAGCCAATAATTTTTATTTAATCGTTAATTAGTGCGTGTGGGTAGGCAGTGGGTGTGGGTGGGTTGGTGGCTTTTGAGAAAGTAACCATCTCAACAAAACTCGCGTCTTTGTGAACTGTAAAGTTGAAATACCCAAGCTGTCCGGCCGGCATACACTTTTGGAACGAAGAAGCCCGAAGGAAGCTTGGATCCTCTTGGTCTGATTGAGACTTTGCCGAGGTTAACTCGTTCAGCTATCTATATAAGAGTCAGGCAGCTATCAGTGCTGACATACAGGTGACACTAACGCAGCAGCCGCGTGTGTTATTGTTATACTTACCTGCAGGTATCCTCGCTCGAGCAGGCTAGCCTTGACGGCGACATGGCGGCCGCCAACCAGGTACGTTCTGTTTCCACTGTATATATACACGTAGCAGTAGGAGTAGTATAGCAGCAGCAGCCCTTCTTGTTGATTTGATTTCGTTGTTTCTATCATAATCTCTCTCCTTTTAACTGTATTTGCCAAACTGAAATGTTGCTAACAAAAAAAGAACAGCTGTTATTGGGCTATTTTTATTACACCGTACGACCCTCATCACTTCAAAATTATACAAGTATCCCCTATAACTTACATGTGAGGTCACTTAGTTTTGAGAGGCCACGGCTGACAATTATCATATCTGTGCTAGCAAAAATAAAGGTCAGGTGTTCGATCTTGGGATACCGATAATTTTACCTAGGACCTCTGTGGATGTATATATATGTGTGTTCCTACAAATTTCACAAACTTTGCACAATGGAATTATATACGTGTTGTTTCTCACTTGACTTTGCCATCAAGTGACCAAGACAAGACGATGCTTATAAGGAAATAAAGCACAAGACAATGAAATGATTTTTTTCAAGAATGTAAGCTATTCCTAGTACATGCCATCCACTGATTTATGTACTCTGTTGTTGAGATGTGATCTTGATGTGTGATGGCTATTGTGGTATGATACTCAGGGGGATTACCGAGGTTGATTTGCTTAAATTGGGTTCGTCAAGTGGATGACACCTGATTTAGGTAAACTAACGCGGTGGGTCCCTATAGTTCCTTTGCTAGTTTACCTGGAAACTGGCCGTTCTTCGTCATGTAAGCGCGATTGATTATCCTTTGCTGGTTTGCTTGTAAACCTAGCCTCTCATCACTGCGGAAGTGTGATAGTTATCCGCTACGTTTTTCCCCAGGCAATCTAGCTCTAGCTTGTGTGTGACCCATGTTTGCGTCAACAGCAGTAATGCTCAAAATCTTGTCCAATACGTTTCCTTGAATAGAACCTATATAAGACGGTACCTTAGTTTATCAAGCACAATTTCGTTCGGACTTAGTCATAAATCGTAGTTAGAGCACAAACTCCAACTGAAATTCGGTGTTTTAGCATTATGCCTACTCCATTTAGGTAAGAACCGAACATGTATGCAACATCACAAGGAGAGTGTATACCAAAACTTATAAATACAATTCTCCAAAGGAATTTTGCAGAAGAACATACAATCAACAAACATCTTCTTCGAATAATGTTATCTTTGGCATTATGTGCCAAAGAGGCCCTGACGACATTGAGCGTCTGAGCCCTCAACCCTTGGAGCTCGAGCTTGTGTGAAACGGGGGAAGGGACCGAGCCGGGAAGGGGGAGGAGTGGCCTGTGACGGAGAGGATTGCCGGCCGCGGGACAGGCGGAGGGTAGAGGTCGAGGTGCAGTGGGCAGCGCACAGTGGAGCAGCCGGAGAGAGGGGGCGATTGACGAGTGTCAGCCGTGAAGGTTTGTCACATCTTGGGGTGGCCAGAGTTAGTGAGGGAAGCAACAGCGGCAGGGAAGAAGGGGTGATAGCCGAAACACCGAGCTTTCCTGAAGGCTGATGATGCTAAGTGATGGAGGCCCGAGATCGACGGCTAGGTGGAAAACTGGCTCGGGATCCAACGGTTGCAAAAATTGGACGACGTGGCGCAATGAATTGCTCGGGCTTGGACTCTAGATTCAAAAGGAAGAGATGGCGACCCACCACAGTTACCACACTAAATGCTAGTTTGCTAGTCAAGGTATGCACAAATTAAAATATTACAAATGCACCGAAGCTTGTCTAACTTTTTGAATCATCAAGCAGTAGGCAAAGCATAGCATAAAGAAACAATTCATAAAATATTATAATAGCTAGTGTCTGCCAATTAACTAATCCTACCTCGCCATTCATATCAAGGAGTTGTTGCCACATCACCATCTAGCTCGCGTGTGAAAGCAGAGCTCTTTGGTAATTCCTAAAGCAGAGCTCGCGTGTATGGACAAAAACCAAAACGCCGTATATAACTTAAAATGGAGGAACCTAAAATGAAGGAAGTAGTTGCCAGTAAAGGTATGGACAAAATATGCCTTTTATATAAATGCACTGATGCATAACTTATTCGATCCTCAATTTTGTCAAGTACTGTAGTAGGTAAAGCAGCATAAAGAAACAACCATATAATATAGTTGGGGTCGGCGCATAATGCTGGAAGGTAGTGGCTAGTGTCTGCAAATAACTAATCCTAGGTCGGCATTCCGCATTCGATCATATCAAGGAGTTGTTGCTACATCACCATGTAGCTCGCATGTGAAAGCAGAATCTCTTTGGTAATTCCAAAATTACAGGTTGTATTGGTGTAGTATTATATGCTAGCTAACTGTTAAATTATTATTTTATGATTTTCTTGATAAAGCTAATTATTCTCTCTTTGCTAATTATTCATTTCACATGCATGCAGGTCAAAGTAAGTGGTTCGCTCTATTTGCCCTGGATCCGAGTCGAATTAAAGGAGGATACCCCCGAATCAAAATTCACAGCAATGATTCGTGTAAAAGCGCCACCGGTACGTAGCAATGCGTTCCCCATACACCTAGTTGTGGCGCTCGATGTCTGTGGTACAACGGGCCAGCCGGCAACAGGACCAAGGTTGGACCTGCTGGAGATGATGAAGTTTATCAAACGAGAGTTCAAGTCACAAGGTTCGCAATCAAAAAAAAAGTCACAAGGTTCACATGCACACGCGACACGACACGAGGTTGATGTCGCGACTGCAACGGAACTGGTGCCCATTGCCAATTGGATATCTGCGCATATGAGCACGGGTGGAACTGACCTTAAACCAGACTTGCAGCGCACCCTCGAGGTAAGTGGCATCCTTAGTGTACATTAATTGTTAAGAGTTTCCATATAAGAACTATATCGCTGGTTCATATAATACTACTATATATGTACGTGTTGTTAATTTTAGACGTCGACTTGAGAATATTTTTCATTTTATATTTAGTATATCGGCAAAGTTGAGTGATTTAGATGCAAATTTAAGAGTTATCTACGTTATCAAACATAGTGGAAGTGGCGGGTAGTTTATAGATGTAAATTTAGATTCTAAGTTTAGATCTAATTTAGAAGCTACTTAGGTTGTTTTTAATAATGGCGGGTTTGATTATTTAGATGCAAATTTAGTGGTTAAATTTACATTATTTTTCGTATGGCAAAGATGGATAATTCTTTCATGACTACAATAGATACAATGCCTATTATCTTAAATCTTACTATTACTAATTAGAGACCTGAATGGAGGCTCCACATTATTTCTCCCTAGACATCAGATACTCTAGAAAAAAAAAAGAATAAATCATGAAAATTCTCACAATAATCAAAAACATCTTGCCTTTAATTTGTTAGAATCTGACCATCATCGCTAATTATAGCCATTGGATCTATTCTATTTTTAAAAAATTTACCCACCTCTACTATTATGAAAAATACATAAATTAACCCTTAATTTTGCATCAAAATTACCCACCTCTACCATTATAAAGCATAATTAAAAATTAAAATAACTCTGTAAATTTGTATATAAATTACCCACTCTAGCATCATGAAACACAATTCAAATTAAACTCCTAAATTTGCATCTAAATTACCCACCTATACCATATGAACGATTATTCAAAAAAGCCACCTAACTTTGTATCTCAATTACCCACATTTGCCATTATAATAGATAATTTAAAATACTCCTCTAATATTTTTATAATTACCCACATCCATCATTAATAAAGATAATGTAAAGTAGTCTCCAAGTTTGCAGAGGTTCAAATTACCAATATATGCCATTATGAAAGATAATATAAATTAACAAATTTAATTTGTATCTAAATTATCCACATCATCCATTGTAAAAAAACAAAAATAATTTCTCAAAACTACATTAAATATAAGCTATTACAAAAAAAAATCCACAAAGTACATTATATATATTTGTAAATAAATTAGACGCTTCTATAACTATTGAGGTTCAATAGTCATTTGAGGCTTAAATATCAAAATCCTATTGAGGTTAGCACTATTGTGTACCTCAACATAGATACCACTTCAAGCTCTTCCACTAATCTTATACGCCATGTGTAGGTTTTAAATGACTCTTTATGCCATCTTATCTTAGTACATAAGAGTGCAATCTATGGCATAAAATCCTTATTTTAAATGGGTAGAAGTGAGAGTTAATAAAAGATATCATAATCACAAGAGTTTGAGCATAACTTGAGGATAAAAAACTATAGTAATCAGTAAAATTAAATAAAAATTTATATTCATAACAACATAAGGTATGGGCTAAAACAAGAGTCACCATAGTCTAAGCTAAGATCTCAACTAAATGCATATTGAAGATACAAAGAGGTGCCATACAAAGGGAAAAACTATGAATGTGGGTGAAGAAACATATAGATCAGTAATTGATAAGTTTATCACAACTAGATTGAGGTCAAAGAGTAGGGATAAAAACATATCGGCTTTGCAAAGAATCGGATTCGGATGTCACCTTTTATCATTTTTAATTCAAATTCAAATACGGATATGGATATTTTCGAATACGAATACAAAATGGATGTCTTGGGTTTGGATTTCTATTCGTATATTTACTCAATTGCACCCAAACTGTATATTGTTAAATTCAACATACATTAATAAAATTTTACTACTAAGTTCATCAATAATAAAAGTACACATCTAATAATCTCCAATATCAAAGTAAACTAAATTATAATGGATAATATTTAATAAAATAACATGTCAAGTGAATAAATTCAAATAAAAATGGTAGAAAACAAATAGCCATTTTGCTTTATCAATATTTTTGGAATTACAAAATTACTACACAAGTAGAGATTAAAGTATTTGTGTATATAACATAGACAAGGATAGTTCATAAAATGATATAGTTATCAATAAATATTTAATGATTAAATATATCAATTAATCAATCAATATTATATTTATATAAATATTTATCATGAAATTATAAATTCTATAAAATAATTTGCATCAATAAATAAATAAACTGAAGTATTGAAATAATTTAAAACAACAAATATATTAGGTTTAAACTAAATCAGAAAATACAAAAAATATTTTATTCTTTATGTATCATTAATAATTTTAAATTATTACTAAAAGTTATTTATAGATATACTATATATTAAATGGTTTCAATGCATCATTAGTAATAATTAAATTAAATAATTGGTCACTCGTTATGGAGAGAAACTCTGAAATAGGTTCATGATATCTTGTTTTCTTCTGTCTGATATTGTCGAATACGGATCTAGAATAAGATAGAGAAAAATACTGAGAAACGAATTCGGATATATCCATTTGGTATCCACATTAGAAACAGATACCAATACGAATATCAATATTACAAGTTTTAGTGGATACGGATGTCGGATAATTCGGACGTCTATTTTCATTTTCCATCCCTAACAAATAGTACCTACTATGTCTATTGTGTTAGAAAGAGCAAAAAAAAACATACAATTCAATATGAGTAAATTTTAGTTGAAGCTATTAAAAAGTTCCTGATGCTTGCGTCCCCTAAGATAGCACGGGTTGATAGACTAGTGATAATAATTAAAGTACATTAAACCGATGATGACCACCTGATGTTTCTAACTTTCGTGAAAATATTAATGATTAACTTTTTCCCCCTACCGCGTAGTACTAGCTAGCGACAAGCTGCAATTCTAGCCCATATGAATACAGGGCGCACGGGGCGTGCACACCTTTTCTAATCTAATTAGACCAGTCTTGGTAGGAGAGAGAGAGATATGAAAATGAGTTTTGTCTAGATGGAAATATAGGTCTGTGATCGAAACTGTGGAATGTAACGTGGTGTGGGTCTCATTTCATTTCATCAGCCATAACTTACTATTAGATCGAAAGAGTGTAATGAAATATTGCACTAGGAACCGCGGCCTTATAAGAAACAAACAAATTAATTTTAAAACCTTTGGCAGAGGCGCATGCATTATGTTTGTTTAGCGTACGTGTGGTAACGTACTGTTATGATAATAATTAATACAGGCCCTGAAGACTTCCGTGAATCATGTTGGCTTCATCATCCTCGTGTCGGATGGAGAGAGCAAGTTTGACAGTGGTTTTGATTTTGAAAAAGAATTTGGAGGGTACCCGCCGGTCCACGCCTTCGGCTTGGGTAGGAATCATGACCCCAAGGTTCTGTATGATATCGCCAAAGCATCCAGAGGAACCTACTCCTCCGTTCCGGTTGCGGACACCAACAAGGTCAAGGAAGCCATCGCCTTGTGCTTAGGCGGTCTCAAGAGTGTTGTCGCCATCGACACGTGCGTCAAAATCAGCGTGCCCGACGACACAGCAACAGCAGACACCCTTATTATTCAAGGCATGGAGATGGTAGATATCCAATCGGGGGGGCACGGAAAGGAAATCAAGAGCAAGGGAAAGGAAGGCAAGATTTCCGTCGGCGTCCTATACGCTGGTGAGGAGAAGGACTTCATCGTCCGCCTTCAATTTAGGAGCACTACGAGCGGCAACATGCGAACCCGGTCGTCTGTTCTTACTGCTGCTGTGGAGTACTATAAGGATATTTCAAGCAAGCTGCAGCAGAGGGCCCCTACTGTCACCGAAGAATACAAGGTGCGGCTCCTAGTCACATCAAGCAATGCCAGGGAAGCGTACAAAGATTTAGAGCGACAGGCTCCCAACTCCAGGGTCCTGCAACAGATGATCTTATTCGAGGTGGTGCAAATGCTGCTCAGCTTTGCGGAGGAGGAGGAGGAGGCCAAGGCCAAGGCCAAGGCGGAGGCCAAAACCACCACCAACATTAATGATGCGAATGTGGGAAACCTGCGAAAGAGGTGGGACGACAAGCTAAAGAGCCAAGGAAATCTACTGCGGATGGCCCGGGAGAATGACCTTGTCGACCTGCAGCGAATCGACGAGGCCATGGCTGCGATGGTCTCGAGCCTAGAGGGAGGCTCGGGGTTGGGCTGCATCTATTCCTGGGTGTCGAGCTGCCAGATGCAGCGCGCCACCACCACGGGTCTGCCAGTGCCACCGCCGTTCCGCCTGACGCGAGCCATGGAGGCGGCGGCGCGCAACGTAAGCAAGCACTTGGTGGCCCAGCAAGCTAGTCGTCGTCAGAGTGCCATAATGCTCTTGGAGAAATTGGAACAGGTGTTCGACAAGTGGGACGAAAGTCGTCGCCGCGACGCAGCATCCATCCTCGAGACGTTGAACTTCGGGAACAAAGTGCACGAGGTGGGTTAATTAGTACTACTAGTAATAATATATACCATGTGTGTTATAAATTCATTAATCCCTCACTGTTGGACGTGCAATTTAATTTTTTGTTTTGCAGGCCGTCAAAGCAGCGATCGAGGGTGGTGGTACCCGGACGACCACCACCACTTCCGGCAGCGGCGACAATAAGGAAATGCCCGCCGCCGCCACCACCCTGGATGATGATCTCAAGGACGACATCAAGTCTACGATTGCCATACGGCTGTTCGACTGCTGCATCGAGTTAAAGAAAAGCAGTTCCAAAGACGACTCGCTCAAAATATACAAGGTGCGTGCGTGGTTTACTATTGTTATCATGTACTGTTCCAGGGCCAAATAATAATTATATAGAATCAGTTACTACTACTCAAATGGACGCATGATATGATATGATGCCACCATCTTGCAGGCCGCCCAAGTAGCCATCAACTATTGGCGCCGCGTCCAGGGAAAATCACTTCCGGCACCGGCAGCCAGTGAAGCGGCACCAGGCACCAGCCCATCCTCAGCCTCCAGCCCACCTGCAGGTACCCAGGCGGCGGGCGGCCACCACAAGAAACAGTGCTGATGGTCAGATATATAATATCATCGACTGTGGCGATGCCGTACTACATAGATTTTGTGATTTATTTGTGCTTTTGCTTTGTGTTCCTGCATGCTTGTGCTTGTTTCAGACCGTAAATATGCATATGGTATATGCATATATGTATGGACAGTAAATTATCAATTCCTCAGTGTAATCAGAAAACAGGAAATAATAATAATAATGCTCTACACACAGGAGGAGCAGCAGCATGTCACGTACCCCTTCTCTACAACTAAAAATTACAATCACCTTGCGATTTAACCTCGCCTCCGCGTGAGAGACCGCCCGGCGCTTTCACCTCGCCACCCCGTGCGCAAAAGCTGGCCTAGCGCTCAAAAGAAAACCTCGCCACCCCGCCCGCGTTCAAAATGAAACCTCGCGCCGGGCGAACCAAAAGAAACCTGCCGCCCGGCAACCTCCGCAGTCTCCTGATTCACCATGGGGGTGGTTGCTCCATGGAGACAAATCTGAATGTTGAATATTTGCGATCATACAGAAAAAAAAAGCCGTCTATGTCTGACTGTAACAGAATGAGTTCCAAGTCCAGCAGCTACTGTTAGGATCGAATGTGTACCTCTGTGTGTAACCGTAGATCCGGGGACGATCTCTTCCTTTAGGGCTTCTCCACTCGCCTGGGACAGTAGCACCGCAGCGGGTAGACGCCGCTGTAACGGTGTAGAAGACATCGGTGGTGCTGCAGTGGAACGGTGGAACCCTGCAGGCGCGACGGTGAGCTTGGTGGGACATCCCGTCGCTGGCAGCACTTCTTTAGTATCGGATTAGGGTTTTCTATAGGTGGGATGGCGGCTCCAGTGAACCTCGTAGTCCGAGCCTTGATCCCCACCTTCCTTTTATGTGTGATGTGCGACAGGGGCCCACCAACCGTATTAGGGTTGGGCTCCCCCGATCAGGGAGCAGAGACAAGGGCCCAATAGACCGCCGTTGGGCCTATTGGTGGAGATCAACTAACATTCTCCCCCTTGATCTCATTCCATCTTTCAATTTCATATCATTTACTTTTGTTCATTCCATTACAGATTAGCGCATAGAGCATGTCTCATCGTCACGGTCCATTGCCGATAGACTTAACAGCTACAACACACTACTCTATTCTGAAATAGATACTTATCTTTGGGTCTTCTTTTGTCTAGGAATTTTAGGCTTTCCCTTAAACTTATGCTAGCTACATGTTCTCTGAATACTATGTTATCTGAACATGTTGAGTGGTAAGCCTTTTGTAAGCGGATCCGCAAGCAATCTTTCTGTACTTATATGCTCAAGACTTATGACTTGATCTCGGACTTTATCTTTCATAACATAATACTCTATGTCAACGTGTTTGGCAGCACTACCTGACTTATGTTGTGAGCATACTGTACTGCCAGATTATAATCGCAGTATAACTTAAGTGGTCTATAGATGGCGTCAACCACCTTCAAACCGGGTATGAACTTCTTTAGTCAGTTCACCTGCCCGTTGCCTCATAACACGCTACAAACTATCATACATTGTGGACGATGTAGTGATAGTTTGCTTTGAGCTTTTCCATGAAATAGCTCCACTTTGCGAGATGATAGAAAATCCACGTCTGGATATATATTCACTCTCGCATAATCAGAATCTGAATATCCCACTATGTGGAGTCAATCAGATCTTCTATACGTCATCATGAGGCCTTTCATTCTTTGCAAATAATGCAAGACTTTCTTTACTAATTTCAGTGTTCTATTCTAGAATTGCTCTGGAATCTGCCAAGTAAAACCCAGTAACAAATGCCAAGTCAAGGCGCGTACATACTTGAGCATGTTGCAAGCTTTCGACAGCTGAAGCATATGGAACCACTTTCACTTTATCAATTGAGCTCATATTGATTCCTGAGGCATTGAAAATCCTCATATCTGTCGCCCTTGACTATAGGAGCAGGTGAGGGACTACATTTGTGCATACTGAATTTCTTTAAGATTCTTTCTATGTATGCCTTTTGTGGCAGTCCTAATACCCCTTTTTCTTCTATCTCGATGAATCTCGATCCCTACAACGAACCAGGCTTCACCAAGATCTTTCATATCAAAATTTTGAGGACAAAACTTCTTTGTCTACAGTTGTAGACTGACATCACTACTAGCAAGTAAGATATCATCCACATACAGGACAAGGAAGATAAACTTCCCATTCTTAAACTTTGTATAGACACAATTGTCCTCTACATTTTCTTTAAAACCCAAAATTCTTTATTGACTGATCAAACTTCAAGTATCACTGTCTTGAAGCTTGCTTTAATTTATAAATGGATTTCTTTAGACGGTATCCCATTCGTTCTTTTTCTTCCATGACTAAACCTTTCAGTTGTGTCATGTAAATGTTTTCCTCTAAGTCTCTGTTGAGAAATGCCGTCTTTATATCCATATGATGTAATTCTAAATCATAATGTGCCACTAATGCCATTATGATTCTGAAGGAAACTTTACATGAGACTAGAGAAGAGGTCTCATTGTAATCAATTTCTTCTCTTTGCATAACCTTTTGCCACAAGTTACGCTTTATATCTCTCTATATTCCCTTGAGAGTCAAGCTTTGTTTTGTAGACCCATTTATAGCCTACTGTTTTGGCTCCTTTAGAAATTATTTCCAAGTTCCAAACTCTATTGGTATTCATTGATTTTATTTCATCTTCCATGGCCTCAAGCCACTTTGATGAATGATCACTTCTCATTGCTTCTTCAAATGAGGTGGGATCATCCTCCATTTGAAATTCCTCAGTGTTGTACACTTCATAATCAGCAGGAATAGCTGATTTTCTAACTCTTTGAGACCTTCTAGGGGCCTCTACTTTTGGCACATCTTCTGTTTGAGGCTATTGTTGCTCCCCCTCATGTGTGGCAATGGGTTCTATAGAATCCTGAAGAATAGGTTCCTCATCGTCATTCATTGTTGCCACAGGTGGGTGAAAGGATCAAGATGCCCAAGAGGGGGGGTGAATTGGGCTAATTCGAAATTCTCTTGCAATAAACAAATCCTACGGATAGCCCAATTAACCCCTTGTGCCTAGAAAAGTGTTTCTATCAAACTAAAGCACAACGAACTCACCACCTATGTTCCAACCTTACTCAAGCAAGCAATTCTATGGATGTAAAACAAGTATTGAATTGCTCAAAGTAAATAGGGAGAGAAAGGAACGCGGCGATGTTTTGCCGAGGTATCGAAGAGTCGCCACTCTCCACTAGTCCTCGTTGGAGCACCCGCGCAAGGATGTAGCTCCCCCTTGATCCGCGCAAGGATCAAGTGCTCTCTATGGGTTGATTCTTCGACACTCCGTCGCGGCGAATCACCCAAAGCCGCTCACAACTTGAGTTGGGTCACCCACAAGCTCCGCCGGGTGAACACCAAACTCCCAATCACCACCAAGCCGTCTAGGTGATGGCGATCACCAAGAGTAACAAGCACGAACTCTCACTTGACCACGCGAAGCCTAATGAGAAGATGGATGCACACTTTGCTACTCTTGATTTGCTAGTGAGGCTACTCTCTTGGATTCTCAAATCACAAACACCTCTCTAGGACCTTGCTCTTCTTGGCACTCACAAACGTGTTTCTCAGCTGTTGGAATGAGCAAAAGTACCTCCACTCACGAGTGGAGCTTCTATTTATAAGGCAGCCTGAAAAACTAACCGTTATGAGCTTCTGCGGGACGACCGGACGCTCCGATCGTGATGACCGGACGCTCCGGTCAGTTCAACCCGCGAACCAGCATTCAAGTGATGACCGGACGCTGACAGGGTCCGGTCAGTACCGACCGGACGCGTCCGGTCGCTCTTGGATGCTTACTGTAAACGACCGGACGCTGGATACTCAGGGTCCGGTCATATTGACCGGACGCGTCCGGTCACTCTTTTCCAAGTCTGGACCCTTACTGGAGTCGACCGGACGCTAGCCCTCAGCGTCCGGTCACACGACCTTCCAGCGTCCGGTCACAACAGACTTAACCACCTCAGTCAAACGAACTGACCGGACCCTGCGGCCAGCGTCCGGTCGCACCGGAGCCAGCGTCCGGTCAGTGTTTGACCCTCCATTCACTTCTAACTTTCGAACATATGTGAATGAAGTTTGCTCCAAAGGATCTTAGGCATTCATAGGAGCTACCTAGAGCTAGTTTTAACAAGTGTGCACCACACCTAACTCACTAGACTCAACTAGGTCAAGCTACCCGTTCATACCCCCCTTTATAGTACGGCCAAAGGAAAAAACAAAGTCCTAAACTACTCTAAATGTCTCTCCAACTCCAATCGACACTTAGAACTAGTTATCCTTAACCTTGTCGTCCATCCTTTGAAAACCGAAACGATTTCCATCGTAGGGGCATGACAACCTCGATTGCCCAATCGATCTCCATTACCATGACCTAACTTAGTTGCCTCTGCAAAACACACGTTAGTCATAGTAATCTTGTATTGACATTAATCACCGAAATCCAACTAGGGGCCTAGATGCTTTCAATCTCCCCTTTTGGTGATTGATGACAATACCACCTCAGTATGTTATGGAGTGAGGTTTTTTTTTTTTTTTTTTGACGGGCTTGGTTCATATAAGCTTTTGTCAATAAGAACAAAAGAGTTAGTCAAGCTTATATGACCCAAGCCAACACAATGTACTCAAAGGATATGAATTAAGCATGAGTACAATTAACAAAGCTCATTTGCTTCAAGTATAAACGCGAAGCAAAAGCAAATGAGCATAACACAAGTGATATGACATATAGAAAATGCAAAGTAGAAGTCACACATGTCAAATATCACGATCACGTAGATAGCACTATCACATATATATAATAGTATGCATGAAAGTAAACACACGAATGCATAAGTAATAGTGTATCACACAAATAAAACTCCAAATGAATATAAAAAGCTAATACTAGATAACTAGCTCCCCTAAAGCTCGCTCCCCCGAGTCTACATACTCAAAACCCTCTTCCCTTTGGCGCC